CCAGTGGAGCGCTATATGCGGGAGCTAGGTCGACTCTTCAAGGCCTATTGTCATTACAAACATTCTAAATGGGCTCTTGAGGTACCAGGTTTCGCTCACATCATGAATTCGGTAATTCACGAGAGCACGGGTTTTAGTCCACAGGAGCTTCAGACCGGTTCTTCCCCAGAATACCTATTGAGAAGCGTTATAGATTTTCCGAAATGTCCAGCAAATTTGGATTCTCACGTTAAGTTGTTTTTGGCGAAAAACTCCCTAGCGGCCAAGGCAGCCAAACGACGAGAGGCTCAAACCCGCCCTCGATATACTCCGTTCGCTGAGGGGGATCTTGTCCTTCTTAAGGCAAATCCGGTTTCTTCCGCTCTAAATGCTGAGACAAAAAAGTTTATGTTATTATTTGAAGGTCCGTATAGGATCAAAAAGGTTATTGGCCCTGCCACCTTTATCCTAGAAAACCCTCAAAATCAATCGGAACGTGGTATGTTTCATGCTACACACTTAAAACAGTATATGTTACCTTAGAATACTGTTTCCAGTCTTCTAAGGTCGGGGGCAGATGTAGTGAAACTATATCTATGGCTCACCGGCCCTTGCGCACTATAGTTACGATCATTTAGCTGAAGTTAGGCAACCAAGATCGCATCGATAATCACCCGCGAATTATTCTTTTTTTATACCCGTGAGTGCAAAAAAACCCGCCATCTTTCAGTTTTAGTTAAAGATCGCACAAGTGCGAACCTACAAGGACCTAAGTTTGTTTAAATCCCTAAAGTGGATTGCTTCTTAAAACTAAACTACGGCTTTGGTCGTATTTGTAGGTAAGCTTTTATATGTGGTTTATACTTATTTATTAACAGTTTTGTCTTTTTTATAAACATATATTTTTATATGCATAATTTGTGGTATTAATTAGATGTTTTGTCGTATTTGTAGATCTTTACACTAAACTTTATACATGTGAAGGCATATCACTGATTAAATAACTTCCCAAAGAGCTCTAGTATTATTTATACTCTCGAACACTAACACCCCTGAGACCTGCTGGTCTAGCCAACCAGCAACACCAGCCGTATTGTCCATCGAGTTCTACACTGATTGCTGTTCCGTCACAATATATATATATTAGGGTGTATAAAAAAAACAATTATTTTTTTTCAAATGGTGTTGAAAAATTAATAGTACATTAAAAAACAAAAACGTTGGCGCCTATTTGAGCCCTTAATATTAATATTAAGGTTTGCCTCAATTCATTTGTTGTTTTTCCATTTCAATAACACTTGAATTTTTATTTTTGTAATTTGGAATTCTTATAACTTTGGAATGGTTTGTTTTGGCGACACCCAAGCGAGAGGAGTTATAGACAATTTCACGCTCTACTAAAAACATCTGAAGGTCAAAGTTCTTCAGATCAGTAAACTTTTTTTTATTTATATATACATATTTGAAATATATATATATATATTTATGTGAATATAAAAAAAAAGTTTACAGTCTCAGGTTAACAGAATTAAAGTGATTTTACATACAAAATAATATAAATATGGCATATGATATATTTTTCTATTTTATTTGAAAATATTGAAACATTTTTATTAGTGTTATTTTTGATTGCTGATATCTTTGAAAAAAAATAATTGTTTTTTTTTTTTGAAACACCCTAATATATATACAGGCTGGCGGATGATGACCACAAGGAACAAGAAGACCTAAAACCTAAAAATCCAAACGACGCTACAGCAAAACGGATTCTCCAAAACCATCATAAAAAGGCTCTTAGACCACGACGCCGGTTAAATACCACAGAGGACGAGAACAACAAAACAACTTCGAAGTGGTTTCCTTACGTCAAAGGGACAACTGAAAGAAGGCAAAGTTCAAATTCCTTGTAAAAATTGTGACGGAAGCTACGTGGGACAGACCAATAGACGTATCAACGTTTGACGCGAAGAACATCGTAACGCAGTCTTAAAACAAGAAAAAACATCTTCCTTGGCTAAACACGTCCGAAAAACTTCCCATGAAATTGACTTTGAAAAAACAAGGGTCTTGGGTAGCATCGAACACAGGACCAAACGTTCCATCCGTGAAGCCATTGAAATAGAAAAACGTCCAAGAAACCTCAACACAAGAGACGATACACAGAGACTACCAACTGCATGGAAAACTGCTCTTATAACCACCAAAACGCCATGTAGTCCGGTCAAATTAGACATAAAAATAGTGTTTAAATAACAAAAATTCCGACAGAGCTAAATTTTGCATTTTTAACCTCAACTCGAGGGCTATGGCGAACGGCAGCTTTACAGTGGTGAGATGGGTCGATGGGCAAATGTTGTTTCTTAATACTTACGTGTTTTTACTAACATAAATCCAAAATTGGGCGCCAGTGTCTTATTATGGCCAGTTGTTAAAATCTAAGTAAGTCAGACACAATCTTACTAAAGACTAAGGGTGGTTATTAAAAGTCAAGTTTAAAAAAAATATAAATCATTTATATTTGTTCACCGATGTTAAAATGATCACTTTGCATGTAATAATAAATATTTTGGTGCACCCTTATATGGCCATATATGGTTTACAAAAACCAAAGTATGATAACTGACAAAATATTATCGATGCTACAAAAAAAATATACTAACTATGTTGAAATCTCAACTTAAAAGTACACAAACAAAATATATTATAAGGAGTGTAGTGTACGTGAACATAAATATTCTAAAATGGTACGACCTGTTCGTAGTTGGGGCCCTGGTAGACTGTGTCTCCTAATGGGTTGGCTTCCGATGTTGAAGTCTCCTACCATGTCAGATTATACAGGATGGCTTTTAAATAACGTAAGAACTTGCCATTATCCAAAACAAGTTCAGGGTAAAAAAACATTCCTTTATAACAAATCTGACATAAAAAGTCTTACAAAAAACTCCAACATAAAAACCCCTTGTTTAAAGGAGTTTTTACAACTATACAACGTCAGGACTGCATAAAGACCAAAAATGAGGGAATAACACAACCCCAGAGCTCATCGTACCAAACGAAAATTGTCTTGGTCGGAATTATACAATTAGATTGAGAGATTTACCACGTATTTTTGGAAATTTTCCATAATTTAAGCACAAACTTAACTCTCATCTAATCGCTTCAACGACCAAATCCTAAAAAGAAATTGTAAACCTTATTAAGTGCGTAGAAGATTATTTAAACAAAAAAAACACAATGTTGCCTATGTTAACAAACATTTTTAAAAAAATTTCCCACAAAGTCCACCAGAACCTAAGCCTCAAACACAAATATTCCCTTAGTAAACCCTAGTAACATACCCAAAAACCCAAATACATACCCTCCTAAACGCAATCATTTGGAAAATTCCCTCCACTGACACTAAATTGTCAATAACGGCAAACCAGCTACCAAAATATTTCATAATATTCATATGAATATATTAATTATAATTATCATTATAACTACATACAACCAACCTCACACGGAAGTGTTTGTGTTGCATACTATCAAATTACCGTTTTTGAATAAAATTAAAAGAACTGGCTTAAAAAGAGTTTTAAATACCGGCAATGCTATTCATGTGTCAGTAAAAGGAATTCCAATAAAACTAATAGATTTTCTTGGAAAGAGGCATTTAAAGAACTAAACAATTATCCTTGTTAAAATTATACTTAACAATTAGTAAAACTAAAAATAAAATACCGTGTACATCCATACCGTTCTAGATGTAAAAAAAACTAATAAAATAAAATAAATGTGTAGCTGTCAAAATGACGGTTACACATTACATCTTAGGACCAAGTCCCAACATATTAAATAATGAATATAAATTTATTAAATAAATAAAATAAGGTAAACTGTACAAAATAGTATGTAATAGTTAAATATATATATATCCTATAGGAATATGGACTCTCTTAAAATAAATTAGTCAAGAATTACTAATTGAAAGTCATATTTGATTAGCAGTCACCAATAATTAGTCAAATGCTATTGAATGAAATAGTCAAATTAGTAGATTTAAATTAAAAAAAAAAATGTTTGAACTGGAGTCTGCCGGTTGTCTAGCAATCAAATCAAATTTATTTTAATGTAAAATATACATAATAAAAAATACATAGTAAAAGGGGCTCAATGTGCTGATGTGGTTGGCTGTAAAAGGCGCGTGGGTGTGTAATCCCGTCCCCAAAACCTTTCTGCATCCTGACCATCTCCTCTCAAGCGACACTTTTATAAATGACAGTTTTATATTTGTCTATAAATATTGTTAATAATATATTAAAGTTGAATATCTTTTTTATGTTGTTGTTTTGAGCTTAACTTTTTGGCTGGTTATGTTTGTTTTTATGATTCATTTAACACTGTAGACTCCATGCATTTAACGCTAACAATAGTTTGTTGTTTGCCGCAATAGCATAGAAAACCCCGAGGGGTAGAAAGCGAACTCTGGTGACAGCGTATGAAACTATAGATAGGCAACCAAACATACAAGCAGGGAGTGTGATTTCTATTCGACGGACTATTAATTAAGATGTCGTGAGATTTTGCTCGACCCCCTTCCCCCCTTAATCTTACGTGAGATTTTTTAAAATGCATAGTTTTAATGTAAATTAGTTAATCTGTGCTCGATTCCATTAGATTTATTAAAAAAAAAACAATTTGCTTATAATTTTTTTATATTTAAGATTTGTTGTATTTAAGATTTCTAATATTATTAGTTAAACGTAGCATACACGGTGAGAAATGTCCATTAAATTTTACTCACTGGACTATATAAAACTGTCTTCAAAATTTACAACTGTCCTGTAGTGCGCGTCAGTCACGATTGTATGGGAAACTTGTAAATTTTGAAAAAGTTTCATATTGTCCAGTGATATTACGCACCCATAGTAAAATTTTATGGAAATTTTTGACTGTGTAGAATCACAATGAGAAAAACGAACACTAAAATTTGTATTCTAATTCCGTCCACGGAAAATCATGTATCGTTTTAAGAGTGACTACTGGAACCAACATGTCCATGTAATTTTCAGTAAAATCATCTGCTCCTTCACCTTGTTTTGATATAGCCATTCTAACCCGTTATCGCTTGCACACAGAAGCTCAGTAGCTCGACGAGTGACAATCCGTGAGGGTCGCACTTTGCGCGCTGGTGCAGCTAGTGCACTATGAACTGCACGCCGGTGCTCTGCGGCTCTTGTAATAGATGAAAAGTAGATACCGCATGTACTGCAGCTGATAAAGTCGTGCAAAGGTTGAATCGGTAGGCAGTAGCGAATCAAGAAGGGAGCAAATGACTTTCCGTCATGCTCTTCAGGGTTGGGGATCGTCGGATGCCCATCAACCTGAGTGATAGGGTAAGAAGGTAGCAGAAAACGGTTATGAAGAATCATATGTAGAGCACTCCGACGTGGGCTGCAGCAGTCCCCGTCATCGCATTTCACAACCTAAAACAATAATTAAAATAAATTCTTAATTTTTAACTCCAATTAAACATATAAATATTTGTCAGCACTCACGCTTGTTAAGGAATTTCAGAAAAATATAAAAAAGCACGCTTGAAATTGCGGTAAAAATACATACATTGAAAATTCATACGAGAAGAAAACAATACATCATTAAATGTGGAAAAAATGCGTACCTGAAGTAAATATTGGCTCTCTCTAACGTGCTCAGTATACCATCCTTCGGCTGGCAGATCTGAGACGCTGGAAGTGTCGTTGTTTGGGTCGATGTATTTAGCAACTACTTCGTGTCCGTCAATACACACTGCAGACCATATTTCAGCTAAAATTTCCCCTGCCTTCTTGAAATTATTCTCTTCCAGGCTAACGTCTACTGTTCTGCCGCTGGAGTCAAGATGTGTCCCAAAAGAGTCATGGGGAAGGACAACACCCGTTAGTTCTCGGCTGAGTGGAGCCATGCGCCCCTCTACTCTGTTAAAAGTACTTCTGCCAGGAGTATTAGTCACAATGAATATTGCGTCCAAATCATATTTTTTGAAATGCCCTATTGCGTGTGCTATCACTTTGCGATATCGTGGGTTCTCGTCAGGACCGCCATCGCTCGAAATGATAAGGACAGGCTTAACTTCGTTATCTGCGTTCTTCATAAAATTGTAAAAAGGCTCAAGAGTTAAAGAGTGTCCAAGTCTTGAGCGTGACTAGTTGCAGTTGACGAAGAGTGCTTGCCACTTCTGATTGCTATGTAAGTTGGTCCACTGTATGAGACAGCTTCTGGCCGTCCCATCTCATTGGACTTCACTTCACAAAGAGCATACACGCTTGAAATTAATTTGTGCCTTGAAGCAATCACAAAGTCGTGATCTGGCAGTGACACTTTGTATTCAACGTGCATTAGCAAAGGCGCCTGCTTGTTTGCCGCTATGAGTCCTATGGGAACACGGGCTTTATCATCCTGAGATAAAAAAGTCACGGAGTGAGGCTACCGTCTCCAGCGACCTTATGGAGGTCACACAAAAGTATTGGTCTGGATGTGCTTTATGATGGTCAGCTTCAGGAAGGCTCAGCTTCACTGGGACAGTCACCACGTGGCGCTTAGCTTGGCCCGTATTTGCCCGTCTAGCCAACAATCGAATATAAGTAGCACTTCGTGAGATATTGAATCCCAACTCAAGTAGTTTATCAGTGAGCTCTGAAAGCGTATGGATAGTGCGAACTATCTCACAGCGACGGCGCTCTTCAGCAGATGCACCAAACATAGCTAAATCAACTATTGCTTTCAGCAATTCAGGCTGCTCTTCTTCTAAGCGTTAACGTCCAGGACCAACACGAGGAGTCAAGGACTTAGCTACATCGGGATTCTTAGAACATAATTCAATTATTTGTTGCCTCTTATTTTTCCTGTGCTTCATACCACACGCTTTAAGCTTGAGCTTCTTTTCACAATCATCGATTTCTCGACGCAACTTACGTGCTTTCTCGTGCTCGGTGCCCTCAGCAATGAAAGACCGTTCGCGCCTTTCCGTCAAATCCAGCTCCACACGAAGTTTAGCAATCTTTTCCTTCATAATGTCTTGCGCCGGAGTGGGACGCACAGCGGATGGTGTGAAGTTAGATGTGACTTCATCCTTATCGTCAAGAGGCTGGGTTTTCTGTTTCGAAACAACTGTGGAGTAAAAAACATTTTGATTTAAACAGGAAAAAGGAAGAAAACGTCGCGCATACAAAGAAAGGCAAATACTATACCCGCCGGTTGAGGGTCGTCGTCAAGGTCTTGATCCCTTGGCTGCTTGTCAGTAGTTTCATCCTGGTCCGCGGATTACGCGTTTTGAACATTCTGGAAGCTTGTTTCAATCTGACCTGGGAATTCCACATTTTGAACACTCTTCTGAGAATTCCACATTTTGAACAATCTTAGGGTTTACCTGCATTCAAAACATCGCGATAAAGACTTGATACTGACAAATTGAGAAAATACGAGTTTGTTTTAGTAATTTGTTTTAGTAATTTTGTGTAAGGCGAATATAGAGTTAAAAGAATAAATAGCTTTCTTTATTGAATGCGTTTAAAATACGCTGATATCTCGATCGCAATCTCAGATGTCTTGTGTTCAAAATAGACAGAAAAGTATTTAGCCTACCTTATTAAGTAATGCCAGAGTAGTTCGGGCTTTTCTCTCTGCCGCTTCTCTGAGGAGCTGTTCGATCTCATGCTGAATGTGCAGCGCCAATTCTCCATTCTTCGGAAACCTTTGCTTTGCTGCGTTCCATAACATTGTCATTTCTTCCTGGCAGCACTTCTTCGTCTTGTAGGGTCTTTTCACGTATGCATTATAATAATCATGATATAAACTCATTTTAAATAAATAACAACGTTAAGTAACGAAACGGGCCTAAGTAAGCACAACAATTCGAGACCTGCTCATGCGTCGCTGCCACTCGTCACGTACGCCGCAGCCAAGATACATGCACCGCAGCGGTCGTCGAGTAGTGCGTTTGGGTACAGCCGCTGGCGAATAAACAATCGAAAGGCTACTGTGCTACTTGTGGCGTTCGCACACTTATATAAGGATTTTTTAATATTTAATAAGCCTTATTAACTGTTAATAAATGATTTGGCACGACTCATGATGCAAAGCATCAAAAAGTGCTTTAAAAAATTCTTTTCACCCCATTTCTGCAACTACTTTTGATATTACACGGAATCAGTATAAGTCGTACACTGAGAAACATATTTAGTTAATAGTAATAAACAATGTATTTAATATAAATCAAATTTTATTAGTATGTAATACCAATAGTATTGCGTGAGGTTTAGCTCGACCCCCTTCCCCCCTAAACACCTCACGTAATTAATGAACGGCCACTATTGCCCATATTACGAAGAACATTTTTTTTAAAGAGTACATATTGCACCTTTAATACAATAGTTACTATAACCAAAGATTAAATATAGTCTATACTCTTAATATACTATAAAGAGTATATTTAATCTTTGCTATAACTAAGTAACATAAGTAAATTGCGATTTTTGAGTTATGGGTACCATTAAATTTCTGAGATGATTCACTACCTAAATATAAAATTATAAAACCTTAGTATATGGAACGCCGTTTTATCATTTAATCAATTAGTTTAAAAGTAACCAAAAAATTCATCTAACTTGTAAAAATTCGCGTTATTCCATTGTTTGAAATTCATGCTAGATGCAAAAGTAATTTCAAAGTATGAAATTCGCTGCATTAAAATGTTTGAATTAAACTGATTGGTAAAGAAAATTATACAGTAATTTTAATGTTTGAAATTAACAGCGTCAATTTTAATCAATGGAATTTACTTACGTTATTTCATTGAATGGAATGCACAATTTCAATGATTGAAATTAACCATTTAAAATTTTAATGAATAAAAATAAAATTTGTGTTTGCGTATTTCATTTATTAAAAATAAGCAATTTGAATTCCATTCACTGAAATTCCGAATTGCATTCAATCAAATTTCATTCAATGGAATTGTACATTCCATTTAATGAAATTATGAATTCTATTCAATAAAATTATGAATTTCATTCAATCAAATTGTGCTTTCCATTCAATGAAATTATGAATTTCATTCAATGGAAGCCCACACCTGCTTCAAATCAAACTCAACATCAATCACCGTATCTGTTTTTTCGAGGCTTCACTCAAAACAACTGATTCGGCTGTAATTCTAAATTTAAATGGCCTTCATTTTGTAAAGTTATCTTATAACGCTAAAGAGTTAAGGTTTTTAATTGATACCGGGGCATCAGCTAGTATAATTTTTAAACAAGCGTTAAACATAAAACAATCAATAAATAAAAATAAAGAAATTCGAATCTCAGGTATCTCTGGGTCAACAGTTTCACGGGGATCAGCAGTTCTCCCATTTCAATTATACAAAGCTTAGTCATGAGTTTTTAATTATTAATAGTTTTGAAGAAGGAATGGATGGAATTTTGGGGTCAGATTTCTTTCATAAGTATTTTGCTACAATTGATTTTGAAAAATATTCGGTTTCCTTTCTGGTAAAGAATCAAAAAGTGATTCTTCCTTTAGAATCTCAACATAATTTTTATACTGTAGTACCGGCGCGTTGCGAAATTATTACACATTGTAGAGTAGAACAGGATGGAGATTGTGTTATACTACCAGATCAGTTGTGTGAGGGTGTTTTTGTGGCAGGTGTGTTAGGATTCTTAACGTACGCGAGCAAGACATTAAATTGAAAAATTTTCGGCCCAAGACGGATAACACTTCCAATTACAAAGTAATTAATCTTTTAGAGGGTAATTCTAAATCGGTAAAACGCATAGAGAAATTATTACAGACAATTGATACAACGCACTTAAATTGCGAAGAACGGAATTCAATTCAACACATTTGCGCGAAATATGCCGACACAGTGGTTACCAGATCGTTGTATCAAAGCGCATTAGGTACCAGGTGGTTGGATCCATGCGCAGTGGGCACCAGGTGGTTGTATCTTTGGGCATTACGTACCAGGTGGTTGGATCCATGTGCAGTGGTTACCAGATGAAATCCATTAGGCCGCGCATAATAAAAATATTACAGCACATTTAAATTTTAATTAATCATGTATGCGCATAAGGTAGGTACCAGATGATTGTGTTATTTTGCAGTGTGTACATGCGCATTGAGTGCCAGATGATTGTGTCCATGCGCAGTAGGTACTAGGTGATTGTAACCATGCGCAGTGGGCACCAGGTGGTTGGATCCCTGCGCATAAGGTACCAGGTGGTTGGATCCATTCTTTTTATGCGCAGTGGGGACGAGATGGTTGCAATCATGCGCAGTGGGTGCCGGATGGTTGGATTTATGCGTAGTGGTTACCTAATGATTGTATCAAATTGATGAAACTATCAATGCGCAGTAGTTTCTGTATAATAGTACCCATGCGCAGTAGGTACCTGACGTTTTCTAGCCAAAATTTCACCATTTTTAAAACCTAGAGAGCTATGACAATTTTTGTCCGAGGTTTTTATTGAAAGATATCAGATGGTAGGATCCACATGAAGTAGTTCCGGGATGCGTAGTACTTTCCGGATGATCGTATATATTCGCAGTAGGCCCCATATGACCAAACCCATGCGCAGTGTTTTTTATAATAGTGAACATAAAATATTTTTTTGATTTTCTTACGGGCCGATACATTTTCCTTCTAATTACAACGTTCCATAAAAATTTCACAAAGCTCAGCTCTATTTAGCATAGGGCCGTTTTGAGGGGTGGCGAATCCAGTGCCGTCCATAGATTTTTTCTTTAATAATCGGTAATATGAATTCTCAAAAACTGACATAGTAGGCCTTGTATTTTGTGAAAATTTGCTTTTTTTAGTCAAAAAATACAGTTTATCAAGATCTACACTTTAAAACAAATCCGGTGTATAGGTACCTTATATATTGTATTCCTTATATATTGTATACCTTATAAGGTACCTTATACATATACATATGTGGGTAGTACTAGGTAGGTAGGTCCTACATGTATAAAAAAGTTATTGAATAACTAATCCTTCAATTATTATTTTTATTATTACAGGTACCTAATACATATTTATATTATAAGTTATATTTAAGTTTTATAATATTTTACAGGGTGGAACAAAAGTATCAAATAAAGGCTTTAACTTTGTAATTTGCAAAGTTTAAAAAAGGTCAATATAAAAGTTATTTGGTTCATTACCAAGGGTCCGTACTTAAATTACGTAACAAATTTAGGGGGGAGGGGTACTATCAAATTGTTATTATTTGTTATGGTACGGGGGAGGGAGTCCTTAACGCTTGTACGTAATTTATCAAAATAAATAAAACATTTTTTGGTGATCAATAAAAATATTTAAATTGATCATGCTATACAAAAATTTCTTGGAATAAAAAAATTACGTACAATACAGGGGGGAGGGTTTCAATAATTTGTTACGATCTGTTAAATAGGGGGGTAGGGGTAAAAATGTCGCTTTAAATCCGTTACGTAATTTAAGTACAGCCCCCAAGCATGTTTTGAGTTTTTTAGTTTGTTGATATCTTTTTTATTTTGTTTCTATGGCAACCAATTTTGTTTTTAAATGACACACATACTTTTTTGTGTTTATTATGAAAAAAGCATGTTTCTCTCTATTTAGGAATTAAAAAAAAATAAGCGAGAATCATATATCTATAACTTATAGGTTATAGGTATATGGCGAGAACAAATATTTATTACGACTCACTCGTCATCTCTAATAAGGTAAGCTATGAAAAAAGTCATGCTGTTTTAAAATTGAAATATTACTTTTGGTAAAGAATTCCATGAAAATTTGACAATTAAATTTATACTTACAATTGTTTCTTTATTGTTTTCTTTTTATTGTTTTTCTTTAAAGAAAAAATTATCATTGTTGGTTTAAAGTAAACTTTTGTTCGACATTCTTGCAAATTATTCATTTTAAAGACATGGCACATTTGAGTCAACGTATTGAAATATTAGATATTATTATAATAAGTTTTCCAAAGATTTTTATAAGATATTATAGTTTGCATCAGACATAATAAAACAAGTTTTCCAAAGATTTTTATAAAAAAATTTTTGCGCAGATCAAGTGAAGTTTCTCGACCGGTCGACAAGGTTACAGCGTTGCCAACTGCAGGGAATTTTCCCTTGTTGTCAACAAACTTGACCACTTAAAATTAAAAAAAAAAACAAAAATATAAGATAAATTAACAAAATGGTGGTGGGGGATCTTGTATTTTTATTAAGGAAAATTGTTTGAATTTGTTTGAAGAGGCTCCAGAAGTATTTCTCGGTAGTGTGGAGGAAGGTCATCTGGAATTTTCAGCCATTGTAAGTTATGCTCTAAGAATTTTTATCATTTGCGTTTATAG